GGTACCACTGGTGTGCAATACCTCTTGGTGTGCGGTACCTCTTGAGGTGTGGTACCACTGGTGTGCTGTACCTCTTGGTGTGCGGTACCACTGGTGTGCAGTACCTCTTGGTGTGTGGTACCTCTTGATGTGTGGTACCACTGGTGTGCCGTACCTTTTGGTGTGCTGTACCTCTGATGTGCGCTACTTCTTATATACACGACCTCTTGAACCTGAGGCTAGAAGATTTTTGTCAACTTTGGAAACTTCTTGTCTGCTAATTCTCCCTCTCCTTCTGGAGTCTCAGTCACACACACCATCTGCGTTGTTACTGCTCTGTGTGTGTCTGCTGCTGCCTTTTGAATCCTGTTCTATGTTCAGAACATTTCCCTGTATCATGGTACCAGTACAGCCCTTAGCCGCGGCTAGTCCGCTATTCAATCCAGGCACTGAGTTTTAAAGCATCTCTATCATTCTGTCCAACAAGTGCAGAAGCTTCGTAAACACGCTYGGCATGTGTGAAATGAACAGCCTGGAAGTTGTGCACACATGCGCAGCTTCCACGGCCTGAGGTGTCCCTGCTTGATCACAACCCCTCCACTCCTGGCCGTGGTCAGTGTTTTGACCTTCATGGTAACATAGACTTATATGATATTTCTAAAATTGGAATGAAACAAGTCATTCCAAAAGGACCCACTCTGTGATTCCTCACAAAGAAAGGACTGAACATGGTGAAAATCACAGTCAGAAAGCAGGATGCGGCTACAGGACCAGGGGTGAGGGAAGCTGTCATTCATGGTGTGGATTCAGGTTTCGGGGGAGGGAGCACCTGGAGATGTGGTGTCCTGGCAGCAAGCCAGCTGAACTTGGTCAGTACTGCCGACTGTGCACTTAGGAAGGGTTAAGGTGGTAAGATGAGAGTGTGTTTTGCCACAGTAAAGAAGACGAAGGAAAAGCCAGTAGAGAGGAGAGGACTTGAGTCTGTGTCCCATCCTGCTTCCTGCTGTGAGGGCCCTGTATCTAGAGGAGGACCAGGGCCAGCCTGGGGGTGTGCAGGGCAGCCTCAGTCCTGGCTCTKGGGCCTCCCCTCCAGGGTGAGGGACCTGCAGGGCTTCCAGCAGGATGATGTGGAAGGTGTGCTCTGTTGGTATCCAGGATATTACCCAGCAGTCCTCCAGGGCCTGGGGTTCACATCTGTACTTCCTGTCTTCTAGGATGTTACCCACAGTTCTCCAGGGCCTGGGGTTCACGTCTGTACTTCCTGTCCTCCAGGATGTTACCCACAGT